TCGTCTGCTTAAGATCTACATGAATGCTTTAAACATCATTCACTCACTAGGTGCCTAATGCAAAGCTTATTTAGTCAAAGTGCTTCTATTGACTTCTGTATCCTTACCAATCAACTAGCTGTTGCAGGCTTCCAGTTTTATCACAATATTAGACTGCTTTTCTCTTTTTCCCATGATCTTAAAAGGCAAAGAAAGAGGTATACTTTGGTTTGCCCTGTCTGTTCTTTAATGTGCTTAGATTGCAGTTATTTCCTGCTGAGCCCTGGATGAGGTTTAGTTTGTTGAAGAGCAACTTTTTAATCATCTCAGAGAGTGAATGAACTGAAAGATATGTCAGGCTTCTATCAGAAGATGAAAAATGTGGAAACTTATTGGTGCCTCTTTTCCTCTAGATATATTGTAGGTCATAAAACCCCACTCTGTACAGTACTTATTACTCTTATAAAGGAAGCTAAAAATGTAATTACGCAAAGCATGATCACCAAGAAATTTTGCAAAACAGTTAAAGCAGGCATAAAAGTATGACTGCCTGTGCACGGGAAAAAGTGCAAAAGAAGCAGCAGGAGAACAAATGATTTCAAAGTCAAGCTATGTCATCTTCCTCACAGGAAGGGTGGCTACAACCCCTTCCCTCTTATTTTGAAGAATTAACGTAGCAGTGCAAAACATTTCAGAAGCAAAACTTATCAGAGTTTACCAGCGTACAGAGCAGCACTTAACAGACTAAAATATATTTGGCTACTGGATGGACCCAGCTTTATTTTTTTCCCATTGGTTCTTACAGGATCCTGTTTTAAGATGATATAATCAGGCCCTTCCCCATCCTCTAATTCTCATCTCGGCTAAATGCCGAAGCTCTTCCCTAAACTTGTGCACTACAGGCATGGATCTATAAGTTTATGTTTTAATCTAGTTCAGAGAAAGGTATAAGGGACTCCACCTCTTCACACTTGCTTTCTTTTGCTCACAATTAACAGCAGATGGTAGCAGGTGAATAGCTCTTACTTTTTTCAATGAATAGTCTTGCCTCTGTTAGGGTCAAAAAAAGGATTAAGGAAAAATGGTATGCTCCTGAACTGTACAGCTAACGACGTGACCTCTAAGGGTTGTAATGTTACATTTTTCATATGAAAAGAAATGGCAAGTCTAACATTATAAAACACCTAGCAAAGCAGTTTTAATCATTGCAGAACAAGGCCAAATAAGACTGTCTGATGAGCATTCGACATCTTGGTTCTAATCTAAACTACTCTCCTGCCAACATATTTATTTTCCTAATTTATAGTAACTATGTTTTTGTATGACACTTGTTTCAACCAGAGAGCAATGATTATTTTTGCTGAGGTTCGCAAGTTAAGTAGGTGAGTATATATGTAGACTTAAAAGGATTATTAAGTCTATTTGGCTATTTTTAGGTATAGTCAATAACATATATTGGCATTAACTTACAGAAGGGACTAGAGCACCACAGAATTCAGTTATCCATAACAGACTTTGAATTTTAATACCAAAGATTCCTCCTCTGAACTCAGCAGAGTTGCCATCTTGCTTGGGTATTTTCTTTTCTACTGAACAGGCAGCTGACACCATAGATTCACGAAGATATGCCACATCTTTTATGCTATCCTGAATTATATTAATAATAAATTAAAGCTGCACAGGATGTACTAGGAATATCAGACAAAAGATTTTATGATCTGGTGATTCTCATTTAAAAATAAAAGAAAGTCTTAACTCACAGCAAAGATGGAACTGAAAAATATTAGAAGATTGAGAAGTCATCAAAAGTGTGTAGAGACAAAATGATTTTACAAAGTCTGTTTACTAAGTTCTGTATATAAAGGGTAACTGGCAGAAATAAGTGGGAGCAGGAGCTTGAGAAGTATCTTAATATATCTATAACAGCTTAGTATATTTTATACTGCTATCCATCAAATTTCATGATATAAGACTTTCATTTGTATATGTGGTTGTCTGGAACACAAACTTCTTTTACACTGTCTACAGAATGAGCTACTTTGACTTTCCAGCAGTCCACCAAATGAAGCAGGAATGATTGCCACTTATTCAAAGACAAATATTAAGGTGAATCTGGAATACGTTAAAAAAGCCTACAGAAGTGCAAAACTGTGGTCTGACTAACTTAATCTAGGAAAACCCATTTGTTAGCACCTTGCTGGGTGACTGAGCAGGTCGTTGCACTTCCTTTTATCTCATAGTGATGATTTACAAAGCACTTTGAGACCTTCGGTATGTTCTTTAATGATACCAACCTTGGAACTGTTGTAACAAGAAAATCCTACATTACTTCCAAAAGTAACTGTGTTGTTCTCTGCTAGTGGATTCATATACATGTCAGCCATGCCCACTTAATATTTTCAGCAACAATGAACACATTTTTTTTCCTTTGTCAGTGCTACCTGGCTCTCATACATTTCATTTAAATTAAATTCAATTTTAATTATCTCCCCTGAATGTCTCATTGTGTTTCTTCAAGTAGAAGATACACTAATGATTCATAATTTCCCTTGATTTTTGATGGGAATTCATCCAAACTCACCTTAAATGCTTTTTTCTCCGCTATATTTTGCATTCAGAGCAACTGAACAATACTTCAATTAAAAAAACAACAAACCAACCTATAAAATAATTGGGCTGGATGCAGCACTCATTTATATCCCTGCAAATCCAGGAAATCCAGTAGCTGCATATGAAGCATAAATCTAACCAAAATCTCCCTTCCCTCATGAGAATTCATATGCTTTATGAAGACCTTCCATTATTTTTTTTTCTGATTTTAAACATAATCTATGTGTCATTTCTGCATGGTTAGGCTTTTGTCAACATCTTGCGGGGAAATAACACCAAACAAACAAGTCCAAAAATGCTGTCTGCTAAAGATCTTTCGTAACAGCTTCTACAGAATAATGTCAAAAAAAAAAAAAAAGAAAAAAAAGAAAAAGAAAACTTAATCACTGTGAACTGGGGAATTGTAAGGAATATATATATATACACTGCAAGAATCACAACCACTTTAGCTTTAGCTAAATATTACTTTTCATCATTTTCCATAAATGTGAGAACTCAGAAATGCTGATGGAATCATGCCAATGCACGAACTTTTTATTTTGAACAGACCTCAAATATTACTTTAAGAATGAGCAATTATATTCATGCGAGATTTAACCACTGTCATCCAACACAGATTATATTTGCTCTGTCAGTAACTTTTATGGTGTATTATCTAGTTCAGAATTCTGACAGAGTGAAAGAAGATCTAAAGTAACTGGCTCCATGCTTAGCTAGTATTCAGTTAAATAAGCAGAGACGTAGTTATTATCTTCTTAGAAGTAAATCTGTGGTTTCCTTTTTTAAACTCTTAAGTTTTAAAGTCCCCCAGAAAGGCTGCTGCTCAACGAATTATTTGTTCACTTCTGCCTGTTACATGGTACTAGACGGGGAGCAGATTAGCAGCACTGTGAAAGACACCGAGCAAGTGTCAGCACTCCCTGTAATTCAGCCGACCTCCCAGTATATTCACTGCAGCGAACCGTGGGAGCTCTGGAGCTGCCGGAGGGAGGCTGTGGTCGCGATCTGAGGTGAAGAGAGCACAATAGGATCACACCAGAACAGCACGTCGCTTTAGAAAGAGGAAAGGTCAGCGTGGGCTTAGTGCTGTTGTGGTGTCATTTCATCTGTTTGTCCCTTGGTGGAGTTCTTGAGTTAGTTTCTTCCTTCCGCCAAATGGATTTAACCGCTTTGTGTGAGGTTTTTGTCCTTGTTTTTACCCTGCTTTCGAATTTGCTGTCATCTTTACTGTATTTAACCTTTCCCTCGTATTATTATGAATATGTTACTCTCAAGCCGATCTTTTTTTTTTTTTTCCTTTGGAGGCTTTTCCCTAATTTGTGTGAGCGTGTGTGCGTGCAAATAATATGCAATATATATGTGTTACGGTAATGAGCGATATAGATGTGCAAATAATCTGTCTCTCTTTAACCCGAGATGGATTCCCACTGCAGATCCCAGAAGTAATTTTCCAGTGAGAGCCACCGACATTCCTAAACTGCAAAAAAAAAAGCCCAAATTGTCGTGGGCTGAAAGCGCCAACTGCGGACATGAGTCGAGACACCAGCAGCACAAACGGGACTCCGCCAAGAAATGCATATGAACGAGCCATTAATTGCATCTGCATATTTTAGCCATAACCCCTCTGTCTTTCCAGCCAACAGCTACAACAAAAACAAAGCCTCGCTACAGACCATCGAAGAGAGCTGCGGGGGAATGCAGAGGAGCTGGGAAAGCTCCCAGGCTGCTTTAGGATTTCCCCACGTACAGAAGGCTGTGAATGTCAGCAAGTCGGATTCCTTCCCACACGCAAGATGCCTCCTCGGTGGCCTTATCAGATGTTCCCTTTAAGGACACGAGCTCTTATTTCAATTCCGTATGTCTCTCGCATCTCTAGCTATTTTATTTATTACAGTCGATTACACTTGTGATGCCGTTTCCCACTTGATCTCACCAGTTCAGGAGGACAAACACCGTGTCGTGTCTGAGCAGCTGGGAGCCGGGAGGGGGACGGGGGGGGACTGGGACAACAGAGGGAGGGGAGGAGGACACGGAGGGGGGGGTGGGGCATTTACACTGCGCAACAGATTTGATCGAGAGGGATAGACCTCCCCTGCCTGAAACAGCTGGATTGTTCCTATCGACACCCAGACAGCTGTGCGCGCACTGGCTGCGGGCCGAGAGTTGGGGGCTGGTAGTGTCATTCCTTCTGTCCCTGCACGAACGAGCGGGATGCGGGACACACACACATACGCCCCAGCCAGCACAGCCCTATCCCCCTCCGGCAGCCAGGACACGTGGAGCGGGAGCAGCGCTGCTATCCACCATGCAGCGCACGTCGGGCCCATTTCCCACGCCGGCCGCCTGCCCTGGGGGAGGAAAAGTAGGAGGAGGAAGGGGGAATGGTAGGAAAAGGAAGGGGGGGCCTTTACCTCTGCTCCGAAAGAGGAACCAATCCACTCTGAAGGACGCAGCACTCCCGAGCAGGAAAGACATTGCACATTCAGGGAGATGTTGTATGTGAAAGACACTGAAAAAAAGAAAGAAAGGGAGGGGCGGATGAGGGGCCCAGACCGTATGTGAAGGACACTGTGTGCGTAAGATAGGCCAGCGAGGATAAGAAGGGAAGGGGGGAGCGAATGCACATGGCAAGAGAAAGAAATCACTCATTCGCTTGAAAGAGGCTCTCGCAAGGCAGACCGTAGGAGAAGTAGACATGGGAGACAACGGGGAAGGAGACGTAGACAAGAGACCAGATGTCCGTGCCGTGCAACGGCCCGGAATCCGATTAAAGTTTATGGCGGGGAGCTTTAAAAACGTTTTCATCCCTCCCCTCCCCTGGCGAATACAGGAAGTTTCCTGGCTGCTCTTAAAAGCACAAAAGGGAACAGCGGGAGCTTCGGTTGCAATTGTATTGCTAGTGCAGAGAGCCAGTGTAATGCAGTATGCTGGTATTCCTATGATATGTCTAGATCTTACACTGTGGACAAAATTTCCTCCTCTCGGAGCTCCGGAACAGCGAGGGGAATTTTGATAAATTCAAGTTGCTTGGCAAATATAATAGGGATTTAGTACTAATCCTACTTAACCCGCTGCGAAGACGCTGAGCTCCCAAGCCCCCCTCCTCCGTCCGGGACTGCGGCGGTGAACACTGAGCCTGCGCCGAGCCGTGCTTTCTCGCTGATGCTGCAGATACAAAGCTGAGTGTCTCCAGCGTCGGAGGGGGCGGGTTTTCGTGTTCTGGCGGGGAGGGAAAGCGATCGGTGCCGGTGCCAGGGCCGGAGCCGCCCACGGAGAAACAGTTCTGCTCTCCGGAGCGGGGAGCAGGAGCGGTCGAGCACCATCCCCCTAATCTCCCTCCCATCGCCGACTTCCTGCGGCGGGACTCTGCCCCTCTGTGCCTCTGGACTCCCCAGGGGAAGAGGTGGCAACCTTCCCTCCCTCTCACATTCACTCGCCGCCCCAGATGACAAAGACACACTGTGGCCGTTGCTTTGAATCTCCTCGGCATATCCGGCCTCTTTTCTCTCAAATATGTCACCACGATGAAAGAGAGGCGTTTCACTACAGTCGTCTGCATGCATCTTTATTCAAAATATCCATGTAAAAAGAGGAATGAACACACAGAACCAGCAACAACTTCTTTTCCCACATGTGTTCACAGGAGGAGAGCAGCTGGATTCCTGCCTCCCCCTTGCTGTACATACACACACGCACACGCCGGTTCTGTTCCCACTGGTCGTCCATGCTCGCCCGGGTCCTCCCTCTCCCGCCATCCCCGCGGAGGCCAGCCCCGCAGAGCCCCTCTCTTTTCCCCCCGGGATCCGGGTGGAGAGAGCAGGTACGGGAGTCAGGCATCACCCAGGGCTCAGGGGCACACGCACACAAAAGCCATAGGCGCTTAAATGACACAAAGTCAAAAGAAGAGAACTAGGGACGCTAAGATAAAGTTGAGCAGAGAGCTTTAACATTAATTTCCCACTTATCCGAGTAGGTGACGCTAAGTTTTGGCAATCATCTAAGCAGCAAGTCTCGGCTCAGAAATAAATGTTACTTTTTACATGTGTTTATTCTACTAACCCTTTCGCCCCCGTCCTGATCATCTTCGCGTTTTTTTGTTGGTTGTTTTTTTTTTCTGATTTTTTTTTCTAGGAAAGCACGTGAAAAGGCACATTCAAATCATGGTAACAGGAAAAACACGAACACAAAGATTAAAAGGCTCAAACAACACTGGGAAACAGGAAGAAATTCTAAGATCTAAGGCAGCCCCCCTTCCTCCCTGGAGTTTTATGCAGTTACAGTGACTGCAGCTCTTTCACAAAAAGCACCGACACGTCAGAGGAAGGTGGGAATCTGCGAAACGAGTTTTCTTACCAGCGTGATTCCGCAAAATGCAGAGCCCCGAACGTGCATCAGCTCTGCTTAAGAGAAAGACGAATAAATCTTTCCTTTAAAAAAAATGTTGCTCTATTCACAGTCTACAGCGGAGGTGGGGAGGGAAAGTCTAGGAGCGAATCACTACAGATCGCGGGTTTGAGGAGGCAACAGCAGCAACACTCGGGCGTGTAATGAGGATCGGGTTTAGGAACTGAACTGGTGGTGTGTGATGAGCAGCTATCCCACTTGCAGCACTAGCAGCGACAAAGACAGAGGGTAAGATTGGGCTTTCTGGAGTGCAGCGCTTGACTCGTCCTCCTCTCTCCTCCTCCTTCTCCTCCCTCCCTCACTCCCTCTCTCTCTCTCTTTGCTCTCCCTCTTTCTGCCTCTCTTTCTGTGTGTATGTAGTGCAGGCGGTTCTGCTGCTGCAGCAGCAGGGAAGAGCTGCTGAGAGAAGCTTCAGCAGCTCCCACCACTTCGGGCAAACTTGCTGGTTTACTGCTGCTTTCCTTTTTTTTTTTTTTTTTCCCTTCCGAGTGGGAAGCTTCTCAGTTGCCATTCAACATTTTAAAGCACAAGCCGCTCTGCTGTGAAAGCGCCTGATCCACACTTCTCTGAGGCACAGGAAGGAATACACATTGCAGATTTCACCCACCGTGGCGGTGCAGATCATAGGAAACAACTGACTGATACAATTTTATTTGCAAATAGAACTCTGGGGTTTGTTGGTTTCTCTTTTTTTTTTTTTTTTTTTTTTTTTAACCGCGCCGCGGCTGTCTCCTCCTCCCCTTGGCCATTCTGCTTCTATGGATGTAATTCAGAATCTGTGTTAATTCACGCGGGGGATCCAGTTACATCGTGTTCCGCTCCGGGTATATTTACGAGAGACAAGTAATCGCCTTTGGACACATAGTTTTGTTGCTAACCTTTGAACTGAAAGGATCAAGTTCAGATCTGGTTACCTGCATTGGGACGGGAAGGAAGAGGAGAGAGAGAGGGGGAGAGAGAGACTGCAATCTCATTTGTGAGTCGCTCTCAGTGCTGCAGATCCAGATTGCTATAACACATGCAGTGCAAATGCAGGTAAGGCACACACACAAACTGCGGATGCTAAAGCAAACTTGGGACTGTTGTGTGTGTATATATATATCTACAGCCTTGCAAATTCTGGGCAAACGGCTTCTGCAGTTTCTGTATCGTTGCTTTGTGACTAATGACCTTGCGCAGAGTTGTTAAAAAAAAATCCGCTCCGGAGAAAGAGCTGAACATTTAACATTTTAGGCGATCTCTGAAGATGGATTTGGGTGCTTTTCTGCCAACCAAAGGGGATATTCTGTGGACTGCTGTGTAATACACGGTTTTCTTCTCTGCAGCTACCGACATTATTGTTTTTTTTTCTTTCTATTTTTTATTTTATTTCATTTTTTAAGAACTCACCATTGCTAAGAGGATTTGGAGTTTTCCCGGACACAAGCCCATTGAATAAAGCGAATCACATTTTTTTCTTTATTTTTCCCGTGTGTGCAGAGCAGGGGAAGAATAAAGCTAATGCCTTGGTCGTAAACGGCTGAGAGAGAGAAAAAAGAGAGAGAGCGTGTGAAATGTAGTTAACTCTAGTGTCGAAGAAGACGACCAGGGGGCTTCGAATCGCATAGTGCTTCTCCAGCTTTTATTGCAAACCTTGCAAAACGATTACAGTAAAATCAGAGAGGAGGAGGAGAAGGGGAGGAGGAGGAAAATCCCATCCTGTCTACGGAGATGAATCTTTAAAAAGCAAAATACACTGTCCCGTGAACTGTAAGTATATCGCAACTGGAAGGCAGGGAAAGCAGGAGAGGAGCCAGCAGCAGGGTTTTGACTACCTATTGCACCAGCCACGAGACACTAAGTTTCCAGGTACAGAAGGTTTTTATAATTGATAGCCCGGACACTCAGCCGCTCTGTTGGCTCATCAGGGGAGTTATTTGGGGGGGGGGGAGGGCAGGTGGGAGTGAGGGGGGGGGGGGGCGAGGAAGATGAGGAAGATGCGGACTCTTTTTGGCTTTGTGCATTGCTGCTGCTGCTGCTTCTTGCTCCTCCTGCCTCCGCCACTCTGGGTCAGCCTGGCATCGGCCAAGCAGCTCCTGAGGTACCGGCTGCCCGAGGAGGGACCCGCCGACATCCGCATCGGCAACGTGGCTTCCGACCTGGGAATCGTGACGGGCTCCGGCGAGGTGACATTCAGCCTGGAATCTGGCTCCGACTATCTCAAGATCGACAACATGACCGGGGAGCTGAGCACCACGGAGCGGCGCATCGACCGCGAGAAGTTGCCGCAGTGCCAGATGATCTTCGACGAGAACGAGTGCTTCCTGGACTTCGAGGTGTCAGTCATCGGCCCCTCGCAGAGCTGGGTGGACCTCTTCGAGGGCCGGGTCATCATCTTGGACATCAATGACAACACCCCCACCTTCCCTTCCCCTGTTCTCACGCTTACCGTGGAGGAGAACCGGCCCGTGGGGACCCTCTACCTGCTCCCCACCGCCACCGACAGGGACTTCGGCCGCAACGGCATTGAGCGATACGAGCTGCTGCAGGAGCCCGGCGGGGACGGCGGCCGCCGGGGCGGCGGAGGGGGGGGTGGCGGGGGGGGCTCTGCCTCGGCGGGCTCTGAGAGCGCCCTCTACCCCGGCGGCAGCAAGCGGCGGCAGGAGACGGAAGCGGCGGCCCGCAGCAGCGTCTTCGAGCTGCAGGTGGCCGACACCCTGGACGGGGAGAAGCAGCCGCAGCTGATCGTCAAGGGGCCACTGGACCGGGAGCAGCGGGACTCCTACGAGCTCAGCCTCCGCGTGCGGGACGGCGGCGACCCGGCACGGTCCTCGCAGGCTATCCTGAGGGTGCTGATCACTGACGTGAACGACAACAGCCCCCGCTTCGAGAAGAGCGTCTATGAGGCAGACCTGGCAGAGAACAGCAGCCCCGGAACACCCATCCTGCAGCTGCGAGCCACTGACCTGGACGTAGGGGTGAATGGGCAGATCGAGTACGTCTTCGGGGCCGCCACCGAGTCCGTCAGGCGCCTACTGCGCCTGGATGAGACCTCGGGCTGGCTCAGCGTCTTGCACCGCATCGACCGAGAGGAGGTAAACCAACTTCGCTTCAC